TCCTTCCTTCCTCTTCTTTTTCCTTGGGCCCATTTGATTTTTATCTTTATTTTCTCCCTAACATAATTTTCAGCCCATTTATTTTCTTCAATTCTTCTTTTCTTTTATCCTCTTCCCAAATTTTCATTAATTCTTCAGACGAATGGATATACACTATTTATTTATCACTTCCTACAACAAACAAAAAGACACTCTAGCTATTCTTTATTTTTTCTTCCGTTATCTCTTGGTTTGAGGAATTGGTATGCAATTTGGCCATCCGAGAAACAGTCGCGAGATCTGTGAGCGTGGATTGAACGATGGCGAGAATTGGCCGCGTCCCCAGTTGCAAGACTATTCGTGGTCTAAGGTGAGTTGGTGTCTAGGTTACTAATTTGGGGAAAATTATCACTTCTCTTGTGAAATTCGGGTCATACTCAGTGTAGTTACTTGAATGGGGAAAACTAAAATCTTGGTTGAATGTTCACTGGTGTGGTGGTGTCAGGGTAAAAAAGAAAGGGTTTACTTGAATGTTGATGTTGACTGCTTTTAATGTATATACATACTTTTAAAGCTATCTAGTTATTTTGTCTCGTCAGCTTTGAATTGTATATACATGAATCAATTTTTTTATGTCATTATGAATTATTTTATTTTACTTCATGAGTTAATGTCTGTTGTAGTATTCAATATCAGACAACATATTACAATAATTTATGATAAGCATTAAAAGCGATTTGAGCGGGAAAAAGAATTTTGTTCCAGCTGCTTCAGTTTAATATATATATAGATTTGCCTAACATACTTGATACCAGTAGTGCTATGGAGCCCATGGTTGGCTCCATAAGGGAGCCAACCATTGGCTCCATAGCATTATTGGACTTGATAAATCCACATATATAATTCTTCGGTACGACGAGTCTAAGCGACAAACTTACACGCTTTAAGATTTATATAATATTTTTTTATATTTTTTCATTTGATTATGATAAATATTAATTTATTTTCAATCTAACGATAATTAAGTCTGAAATAATCATAAATATATTGGATATTTTTTTTTATCATTTTTAGGGCCATTAATTATGTTTTAATAGTATTTCCTATATTTTTTTTTTATATATATATATAAACATCCCAGTGTGGGATGGGGGGTTGAGTCTACACCCCGACCTGTGAATATAAAGGTCCAGAGAGGGTAGCCAGTTACAAGAGTAAGTCTCAAGTTAGAGAGAAGGGAGACATTCTCTCACTAGAAATCATTTTGCTTTCTAGGGCTTGAACAAATTGATCTTTCACCTCTTTGATCTTGAGTGTTTTTGAGTGCTTAACTCGTTCTTAATTCCGCCCACAAAATCCGAACAATTCCATGGTTGAAACTCCTAAAGCCGCGGAAGTTGCTTAGTCCATAATGGCTAGGAGCAAGAGAAAAGCATCATACCGCCGCCTCATTCTTGACAACACCGAAGACATCGACGATTTTGAACCCATGGAAGAAGAGACCACGACACCGCTTGCAACCAAAAATACCGGCGGTAGTTCCAAAGCCGAGAGTGTTCTTGGGTTTCCCACATCCAAAGGTAAGCTCACTAATGAGGATAATGTTGTTGATGATCTTGTGAACATGGGATTTGATGTTGAGATGTTGGAGGGAGTAGATGGTAATCAA